TTGTAAAAGGATAAAGAGTATTGATGCGTAAACCAATAAATTAGTAGTAATAATAATTTTCGGTAATTTCTAAGGTATTTTTATATGTAACACTGATTGGCTGGATTAAACATTTTGATGGAGTTTTGTTCTCTTTCAGATAGAAATTTTCATCTGAAGTTTGTGCTGATGATGTCGTTCAGAAGAACGATGAAATCTCCACGATCAAACCATCCAGCTCAGAGAACAAAACTCCATCAAAATCATTCACCTGAGCTACCAATCTTCTCCATCATCTCAGGATTAAACATGAATGGGGAAAATCGAATGTATTAGACACGAAATTACAGAGCATCTCACTAAAATCTGCGAACCATATAGTAAATAGTTAATTTGCAAAATATCAATCCATCGTTTTAAACTTGACTGTTCCTTTTGTAAATAAAAATCCATTGTCTCAGATTTCATTGTTCATGCATTTTCATACCAATCGCCTTCCGTTCCCATTCTTTCCTTATCGATCCTCTGCTGAAATACATTCAATGCCTGACCACCGTTATATATTACTTATATGTATACAAGTAACTCACACCACAGTAGTACATACCCACGACGAAACATAATAGACTGAACTTATGATCTTAGAACTGTTTAGCGAATACGATACTTTTAGTTTATCTAATGTATAATTCAATTTATTAAAGTACAAATTTATATGTATTCAGTTCTAAGTTAGATTGTTTGTTTACAAGAGGTCTAGGTATATTACTATACTGTTTGAACTAAACCATTTGTAGGGTGGGTTTTAATTCTCGACTTACCGGTCAATCATTTCAACCCTAAGTTATTTGAATTGAAATTCTGTAATATAAATGCCTAATAATTATAATAATAATTCTACCTTGATTGGCTTCATACTGTGTATATGTAGAGAACATAAACAAATCAGAAACTTGGCATGACTACTCTTCAGATTGAATATTTGAAAAGCATTAAAATTCTTAATGTAATTTCCATCAGATAGTGGTTGGAAGTAGTCAACATTAAACCCTGGACTTGGGTTTCGTGCTACTTGGCACTCGTCAGCATGATATACCTGTAATCTTGGGGGAACTGGTGCTCCCTGACGGATTCGATTCCGTGTCCATAGCATTTGATCTGCACTAAAAAGGACTTGACACACATGATATTGATCACCACCCAGTGATCAACCAATTGTGATTACGTCTCAGTCCTACAGGAGGTCGGTCGCGGCCCGGATAGGCCAGTGGTAGTGTCTCTGACTATGAAGCTGAGTGACACGGGATCGAATCGGTCAGGGGAGGGCGTCATTCCCCCCAAGTTTACAGGCACACCTTGCTGATGAGTGCCAAGTAGCACGAAACCCGGGTTAACAGGGTTTCCTGTTGACTACCTCCAAACACCATCTGATCTCAATATATTGCACCCAATGTTGAGTTACCTAGACTAGTGGCCACATTGCAACTTGGTCGATAGAATTCGATCTGCACTAAGAAGGACTTGACACATGACATTGATCACCACTCAGTGATTAATCAGTTGTGGTAATTTCCATTGTAAATGTGCTTTTTGTTTCAGTTGATTGAAACATGTGTTAAGTATCAATGCAACCATGATATGCAATTTTGGCTGGATTAAAAGTAAGTTGGATCAAATCAAGATATGACATGAATTCACGAAGTTCTCGACTGTTAGTATAAATCATCCTGATAGGTCGAATCTATGTTTTTTTAATATGTACAACTATCATTACCAGTTGTCTAACGTATTATATGAAATAGCTTAGAATCAGTTACAATGACACATTATATATTCCACTAGATCTTATCTTTCAGTATTCTTTTATTCACACTTTTCTAATTTCATCGTTTCGAATCATATTCTTAGTTCTATCATTCTTGCTATAATTATTTCGAATCATTTTGATATTCATCTATCATAATAATCAGTTATTTGTGTTTCTTGGTCTTTTCTTTCTAAATCAATACACTATCTTAGTTGTGAAATTAAACTTTTTACAAATTTTATGCCCGACCGTTATTGCTACCTTGACGTGGTGGTCGGGCTTGCCTATCGTGATGAAGCAACCGAGTTATACTGGCTGGAACAACCGTTCCTCAAGGTCCTACCATATCAGACAGGTCGGTTGAAGAGCGGTAAGACTAAAAGCAACAAACCCAAGGTCCGAAGGCGAAGTCGTACTGCTGACTGTACAGAGGTGTGACAGCAGTAAGGTGTTTCCTTCAGACAACCAGCATGACAGCGATGCTGCCTTCCCACAAAGAGTGGTGAGGTTTGAAAAGGTCGACCCCCCACGGATATCCGTCTCCGGTGGTAAGGTCTCAACAAGTACAGAGCTAACAAAAAAATTACTCATCAAAAGGTCGTATGTGACTGACTTCAAGCAGTTGTCCCTTGAGCACTGCGGTCACGCTCTTAGGTCACTAAGACCACCTCTAATCCAATTTCCTTTTCAGTTGCATCTAGAAGAACCCTTCCATGGTGTGGGCAACCGGGAAGTGATAACCACCCTCATACCTCTAACAGCAATCAAGACTGACTGAAATTTTATGTGTTATTATCTTTTTATTTTTATTTTTTAATGCTGTTTATATACAACCACCCGGATTATGAATCAAACTCATGTAATTTACTTCATCATCTATGATTCTAAGGTTTCATAATGAGTGAAAGAATTTGTTATTATAAGAGTCAAGACAATACCTAATTATTATCATCATTAGTATTAGAGGTAGTTCTTAGAGTACCTTATTTATTGATATTTTTTTCAATAAAATTATATCTTCAACCTTAAAGTAACTCATTTAACCTTGATGATTAGAGAAGGTATCATGCAGTACTCTTGTTATAATGTAACTACCGCTGTGATATTATTGTATTTAGTAAACATGTACTCTCAGATATATATTTTTTTCATGTTTATTACTGATCTGTCAATATTAATAGTCATAATAATAGAACGTAAACAGCATGATATTGATGAATGTTAAATGAGTATGTCAATATTTCGATTATACCTCTGGAGAGTTTATTTCTAAAGTATCTGTGATTGTGATACGATGTAACCCTAATTTTTGAATATAATAAGAAGGGTGCAATAGTTCCTGTTAAGATTATTGATACATTTTCACTGATTGTGTGGGTTATCTAATCAGGAAGCTTAAATCTAACACGAACCTTGTTTCTGGTCGTTTCTAATCATTTGGTGTCAAACACTTTATTCATCCTCCCGTTCGTAATCAATGACGATTTCTGTTTTATTTACTTGAAACGTTTTTGTAGAGAATGATTTGATTTTCAGGCAGTATTCGCTACATATTGATTTCATTTAGGATAATAAGGAACCTGTCTGAAAAGTCCTACACTAAAGTTAGACAGCTATCAGATGCCCTCCAGTTTTCAGTGGTGCTCCAATTGAAATCAGTATGTGACGAATCGAAACTACAAATTTTATCACATGTTTAACTATGCAATTGATTAGGCTCACATCAACCACCCACTTTTTAGAAAGTTTCTCTACCTAGACCTAAACATAGTGTTTGTGTCAGCCCCTAAATGCCTTTGTACGGCCGAGAGTGGGGAGAGTCCGATCTTCCTCTCCAAATGCTCTCACATAACCACGTGCATATCAAATGACATTTGTGTGGCGCATATGTATTTGGTGCCTCCTTAGTGTTTGTGTTAAAATTGGTCATATATTAAATGTTTTCTAATAGTTTAAAAAGAATGTAAGGATTTTTTATTCAGTGGAAAAAGTCATCCGACGTTACAATGAGCACAATAATAAAAAGAACTATAATCCATATGAGATAAAGTATGAGTGTAAAATTATGAAACTAAGCATTGTGTTTGTGTATTTGTTTTTGGTATGTCAATTTTATTACGTAATACTGACAATAATGATGTGAATAGCGTTTTTTTTTAAAGACTGTAGAATTTTCATAGTTTCTAAATCACAAACTGATCTTAACTAGACAACCATTGAAATCTAAGAAGCACTTGACAGTTAATTGTTTCTACACTAATAATGATCCTGCACTCACTACTGAGTAGCTTTACGATGGAACTATTGGAGTTCTACTGAAACGCTCTGAGCAACGAAGTTCAGCTGTGTCGGGTATAAGAGAATTATCCATTTCAGGCAATGAAAGATAGTCGTGCAATATTGGAAATTGATTGAAGTACGTACCGTAACAAATGCCGGTTCAATGATCTAGAGGTTAAGTGATTGCACTCGAGATCAAATGTTGTGGCATCGATCCCCCGTGGTCGTGTCGTGAATGCAAATTTCCATACTAAGACGAGACAATAGTCCAGTGCTTTCTAGCTTTCCATGATGGTCTAGGTAATATCAGTTTGTTATTTTAGATATAAATAATGGGAAATTTAATTTTGTTGATAGCAATTTCGTTACTAGTTGTTAAATATATAGTCGTCTTCAATCTCATCATAAACATCATTAAGTTGGCTTACCGTACTTTTTAATGTTTATATTATGGAGTGAGAAAGTCTTTTTTTAGTTTTAATCTCGTTCTGATAATGACAATGATAATAATATTATTGGCAGTCATGCTTATTAAGAGTATCTGACTGACCAACAAATCAGTGTGGAATATACCATCAAAGAATGTATATAAATGCACATTGTTACACTTAACAGTATTGCCATAAAAAGAACTCCACAATAAAGAAACGAAATCAAAATAAGCCAAATGAAAGTATGTTGTCTATGACAAAGCTGAATAAAAGTCAACAGAATGAACCGTATTGATTAATTTCATCTGTGTGTTGAAAGTGGACAGCCTAACCAAGATGTACAACATCAGCCTGTAAAGTTATCGACTATTGAAATGAACCACACTGTAAATATATCAGTATTGTTTGATTTAAACACTTATAATAAGTTCTTTTTTCAATACTTCTCATTATTTCTAATCTCTATCAACTTTCTTTTTTTTTTGTCTCGTTGATCTCTTTAGATGGACAAGCACCAACATTTGATGAATCGGAAGGACAAGCTGGTTGGATTGAAGGTTTAGCCATTCTAATTGCTGTATTTGTTGTTGTATTTGTTGTGGCATTGAATGATTGGCAAAAAGAACGACAATTTCGTGGTTTACAGAATAAAATTGAATCAGAGCATACATTTTTTGTTATACGTAAAGGTGATACTAAACAAATTCCTGTAAAAGAAATTGTTGTTGGTGATGTATGTCAAGTGAAATATGGTAAGTTGATTGTTTAGCAGATTACGATATTTTTCAGTATGTGGTTGTGGAGATTGTTGAATTTTTTTGAAGTTACGAACTGTTCCAAATTAGACGACCATCAACTTGGGAGCACAGGACAGCCGTTTCATCCTAGCATAGGTCTTAGCAGTACGGATCCACAGTCCCATAACCGGGAATCGACAATTACCATGTGGTCACTGGCTACTGAGGAGCTTCGTACTAAGATGAATCGATCGTTAATGCTCTCAGGTTTTTGATGACTGTCTAATGTAAATCGGCTCTTGATGTCAATATTAAGCTTTTCATGTACCATTAAATAAAGAACAGTATGAATTGGAAATAGAGCAAAGGATATGAATGACAGTGATTTAAGCAGTTATGTTCAATTTTCTTTTCCATTTACTCAAAATTGTTATCACTAGGAATCTTCATATGCAAGAAGTACAGCTCATAGCTAAATATTTATGTAAAGAGAGAGGTTAATAAGTGACAGACAAATCAGCTTATTTAGATTCAATGTATCAATTGGAAGATCAAAGAGATTCATTATAAAGTAAATGGTAAATGAATCAGCATTCCTTCCAAATTAATCACATTTGACGAGAAAAGCTATTGGTCACAGATTGTTATCAGCTAAATGAGTATTAGTAACCAAGATATATTTTGGTGGAGTTTTGTTCTCTGAGCTGGATGGTTTGGTCGTGGAGCTTTCATCGTCCTTCTGAACGACATCATCAGCACAAACTTCAAATAGAAGTGAAGTGTTTGAATTTCTCCATATGTGTTTCAAAGCTTGTTCTGTGCACCTCGATGTTGATTAGTTCTTATTGACCTTAAATTCGTCATTGTTTACTTCTTTGTTTTGGTTGTGTCTCCCATTGTTTTGATTTTTGTTCTTATGTTTGTGCATGATTTTTCTGATTGGTTGATAGATTGGGTTGATTTCAATATGCTTGTTGATTGCTGATTGACCTGAGTGCCAGGCTTCTAAAAATTCTCTGGTGTTTTTGGAGTTTCCTCTGTCTAAGATTTCCACATTTTTCCAATCGAATGAATGTCCGCAGTTGTCCACGAGTATTGATATAAGTAAGGAGATATCATGCCGTTTCACTGCTAATTGATGTTCATGTATGCGCAGGTGAAGGGGGCGTCCGCTTTGTCCGATGTTGTGTTTTTCGCAGTTGGCACAATTTATTTTGTAGATGATGTTTGATTTGTTTTCCTTTGTTATTTCATCTTTTGGTTTGCATAGGATTGATTGTAGTGATTTTGTCGGTTTGTGTGCTACACCTATTCCGAAGGTTTTCAGCAGTCTTGTTGCGGTTTCTGATATTCCTTGTATATATGGTAGGGTGATCCTTTTGTTGATTTTTGTGCTTGACTTGAGTTCTAATGCTGCATGCGGTTGGTACTTTTTGATGAAGTTAATTGGGTAGCCGTTCTTCTGAAATACATCCTTCGGGTATTTCTCTTCACTTCTTCGTGCTGCTAGTGTGCTGCAGTGTGTCCTCGCCCTCTTGAACAAATTGTGTACGCAGTTGATTTTGTGAGCTCTTGGATTGTTGCTATTGTAGTTGAGAATTTGATCTGTATGGGTCGGTTTCCTATATACTTGAGTTTCCAGTTTTCCTGTGTCGGTTCTAGTGATCAATATATCCAAGAATGCTAGTTTGTTGTTTGACTCCTGTTCCATGGTGAACTTGATGTCATCGAAGACGTTGTTGTGTACTAGACATATTTGTTTGGTTGCCTGTGACTCGAAAGTAAACACAAGATGAGTGTTTAATTAAAATGAGTCACAGTTCACTATGCTATTGATTCTTTTAGACTAGTGGTCATTTATTGTAATTCTGTCTATAAAATTCGCCTAGCACTAATAACTAGACATTGTGATATTGGTTAATGCTACTGACTGACATAAGTAGTATATGATGTTAGTCGTAAACAGAAGGTCTGGCAGCAGAAAAACAAGGGAATCGAACAGTAAAGAATGGAAGCAGAATGTAATTTATATGAAAATGCAAGAACAATGAAGTCTGAGTCATTTTGAGACATTTGATGGACATTTTGCAAATTACGTATTCACTATTTGATTGTTGAATTTTATTAACAAGTCCTATAATTTTGTGTTAAATACATTCGATTGTATCCACCCGTGTTCTGTTCACTACACTACTACTACTGTGGTGTACACTACTTTTGCGGACAGATGTAAGTATTTTGTAGTAGGAATTGGATGTGGAATGCTTACCAGCATAAGATTGAAATAAAGAGAAGAGGAAGGAAAATAAAAAAAGAGTCGGGATGACAACAGAATTGGAAGAATGATGGGGTATCTAAAGGACAACCGGAGGAAAATGTGCAAATGATATATTCAAAGTATGATTTACATAATTTGCAAAGGCACTATGTGATTTTGTATTTCTTCATTCACAACACTACTACTACTGCTACTTCTGTTCAGTAGTCGATCAGTGTTGTTATTCAAATGATCCAAGTTGATTTTCGTCAAACATTATGATAGTACATGTCACGGTGTTTACTGTTATTCATATGTATTTAGTAGTATGTATAACCGTACACTTAAATCATATAATGTAAGGAATTAATGTTTAATAGTTGCTCAATACTTGAAATAATCTAGGGCGGTGCCATATGTGCACATTGTCTATTCAATCTACATATTTTTGCAATAGCTGCGACTTAACTATTCTTGTTTAATTAAGGTCAAATGTTGAAATTCCCGCTACGACTATTTCGTTGATAGGAAAAACAAACAAATTTACTCATAATAAATCAACAAACAGCACAATGAGGTGTGGTTTATCATCGATGTCTACTTGTATATATGTATGTGTACATGATTTATGAATTATTCCAGTGAATTAATTGGTTAGGTCAATTTAAATAATCGAAACTAACTGAACATGAGATTTTATAGTTTACCTAATCATAGGTTTATTACTGATAAAGGTAATATTATAATCAAATACAATATTTTCACGCTTTTTTGAATCAGTTTTGCATGACCTGGCATGACCCATGTACCCCATTGACCAATCACAAACAGAATTTCAAATAAACCGATCTACTTCTACATTACGAAGTAAAAGGTTGATGATGTTGTCCAGCAATTAATAATTGAAGTTTCCCTAGTTAAACCAATCAGTTCAATAAATGTACTACCTTTAAAATGATACCTGGCAAAAATGTTTCTAAAACTAACTATGGTTTAAAACCTCCTTCTACTTGAGTAAATTTGATCAATAGACAACTAATAAATGAGAAAATTGATCGAAATTCGACAGAGAGAATTTGAAGTGACTTATATTGTTGATTCAACTTCTATATTCCTATATAATGGGATCGCTGAATTATCGAATCCACTAATGAGGAGTTCTCCTTGAACCAATAATGCTAATAACCTTCGCCTAACCAATAAAAACTATGAACACTAACTACTATTGGCTATCCTAACACGTATTGATTCACATGGATTCTTCTGTACCTGATGTCGAGTCAGAAAAGGAGAACAGGAAGTTGATTTGTCTTCTATTCTTGCGACTTCAATACTCGGATGATTTAATGCTAATGATGTACATCAATCATATAACCAAAAGTCACCATAAAGGACAAATCAACATCTGCACATAATTAAATCATGTGTAGTAGAAAATGAACAATACGTACTTAACTAATCAATTGTAATTTGTTAAGAGTAAAATAATGTGAATACAGTTAATGAATTGAATGAAGGTTTACAATTAGAACGGGATGTAAAAACACTATATTAGTGTAATCTGAACCATAAGAACAAGCAAATGGTGAATGATTGAGTCGTTCCAGGGTCACTGTGCACGAATCAAGTGGACACACGTCATCTACGGATGATGAAATGTAAGAAGTAACGGAGGGACGGTTGTTATCTGGATTACATTATGAAAAATTATAACGTTTCTAAAAACAAAGCAATTATTATATAGAGTTTCAGTTTAAATTAGGGTTCCAATGTAACGTTTAGTGTTTGGTTAGAATTGGAATACGGAATTTAGTGGTAGGGTTAGAGTTTTAGCTTAGGACTAGAGTCATTGAGAAGAGATCCCTTCTCTGAAATGGGAATTCTATGTCAATTCATTATAATTAACAATAGTGAGATTGAATCTAGATTTCAGATTGTTTTTGTCGTTAAAATACTCAATTTACAATCAGTGAATTACAGATTCGAGGAATATTCTTCTTCTTGTTCATTGTTCGATTTAGCTATGGTTTCCTTTTGTCCACACATTGAAGCTAAACAGTTTAACTTAGTAACCAAACAATATGTCCCTAATATTATTCATAAATACCTAGTTTACTGATTACTTGCTTAATCTTGATGTAAAATACATTAATCAATCATTAAATAGTTTGCATAGTTTGAATAGTTTCATATATATGTGCGAGTGAATTTATAGAATTCTCATTTTTTCCCATTTGCCCTACTATATACAAAAAGAATAAGAATGGGTATTTATTATTATTATTTTTTTTTAGACCCCATTCCCCACATACTCTCTCTTTCTCTACCTAGTGATTATATTCTCGTGCCTATGTGTGTGTAATATACAAAAAGTATACATACATCATTGGCTCTTATGGCGTCTTACATTTCGATATTAAAGAATCAATAATTTTTTGGTTTGTATATTAAACTAATGTATAAATATATTCACTGTTGAAATCACGGGTCAAGCTAAGCTAGGCCGCCATTAAAGACGTGGAAGCATTGAACAACCGTTCCATCCTAGAACGGGACTCTTGAACAGTACATATCCACCAACTCGCACGCGGGATTCGAACCCAGGACCTTCCGTCTCGCTCGCGAACGCTTAACCCTGTATATATATATATATATATATATATATATATATATATATATATATATATATATATATATATGTTTGATGAAATAATGCAGAATAAAATTTTCTAGTCTATAGTTATTTCAATCATTATTCCACTTTGTTAAGAAAGTCTTATTGACCACTTACAGGTTGATAATTGTATTTGTATATTTGCAGAATATGTGTTGTTCTATTTATTGTCTTATTGTGCATAGAATATATATATCTACCCCTTTCGTACGTTCTCTATTTTACCGTACCTGTACGTAAGTGTGAGTCGTAAATATCGTCATATTTACATTTCTGTATCGGTAGTTGTCTTATGGTAATCTAACTGAACTGATTCGTTAATTCAATCCATTACCTCACCTTGTATATATAGTGAAGTGCACACAACTATAGCTAAAGATCAGTCGGCTTTCTATAAGATTATCGAGAGCAATTCTATAAACAAACAAGAAAAGCGCTAGTTTGGAACCTATAGATATACCCATATATGTAAACTAAGGTACTTACATGCATAAATATGCTTGAAACCGATCACACACGACCCTCCTAAAAGAAGTTTTCATTGTGTCAGCATCATACTTTTTAGTCCTTACTTCAGGCAACAGGAATCTGTCGACTAAGATGAAGTGTATCTATTCTAGGGTCAACCTTTTCTCACCACCTGCTTTTGTTGTGTAAATACAGTATTGGTGTTTGTAGGAAACATCTTACAGTTCCTACACCTTAATAACATCATCAGTACGGACCATAAGTTTGTTACCTCTAGTTTTACCACACCAACTCAAATATCTTTTATTGTAAGACCTAAATAAAGCAAATATTCTAACCAATCCATTTCGATCGGTATCTTTGCTTGATCATTACATATCAAGGTATGAGTTAACGTAGAGAAGCGGTTACACTTTTATCTATCTTATTCAATGAAATACCATTATTTCTTATTACGAATAGTTACGTGATATTATTTTTCTAATTTTCTTCTTCAATCCCCCCCCCAATTTCTTACTAGGTGATCTCCTACCAGCTGATGGTATAGTGATACAATGTAATGATTTAAAAATTGATGAAAGCTCTTTAACTGGTGAATCGGATCAAGTAAGAAAAAGTGAAACAAAAGATCCTGTCCTACTTTCAGGTAATTTCTTTAATTGGTTTTTCTTTTTTTTCTCGCTTTAAGTCCATTTTGAAAATTCTATTATTCCCCTGCTCCACATTCACACACACACACACACACAAACAAACAAACAACGATACCATCATACGTATGTCGTTCAAATTTGAACAAAAATAAGTAGAGACTAGTGAATGAAAATAATTTGTTGAATAAAATCAAGTTATCAGTTTATACTGTTCAGGGCTTCCTATCATATATTGTTTACAAAACTTGTCTACTGTTATGAATGGTTATACTGATTAGAAGTAATGATTTGACAGATACATTATGTTTTTGATTAAGATCATGAACCGATTGATGTTAGACCACCTTTTGGAAACCTAGAAGCACTGGACGGCCGTTTCGTCCTATTGTGGGACTCCTCAGCAGTGGAGCTAATCCATGTCGAGTAGAGACAGGTATCTACTTCAGTACAATGAAAGATGGTCACGCAACTTCGTGGATTGGTTGAAGTTAGACACTATCACTATTGGATGCCGGCTCAGTGGTCCAGTAGGTTAAGCGTTCGTGCGTGAGACTGAAGGCCCTGGGTTCGGATCTCACCAGTGGGATCGTGGATGCGCACTGCTGAGGAGTCCCACAATAGGACGAAACGGCCATCCAGTGCTTCCAGGTTTCCAAAAGGTGGTCTAACATCAATCGGTTCATGATATCTATCAAAAACTTAATAATCTCCACAACCCCTATACTAGATACATTATGTAATGAATCAAGTTAAGATAAACATTCAAAATAGAATGAGGAGTTAGTCAAGCCAGAAAATACAATAATTTGTATTTGTTTTCTATTTGTGTGAGGGCTTTGATATTGCTCAGGTGCCCCGTATCGAATCAAGTAGTTTACTTAGAGGGTCAACACCCCGAGACTTTGATTTAGAGGTCCACTCCATAAGTCAGTGAAGAAACGTTAAGAGATGCAGTCCCATGGGAGTCAGTAACCAACAACAGGTTCATACTTTATTTGTTCCCTTAGGATCCTATAGCCCATGTAAACCACTCTTTCAGAATCAGGGTTTTCTAACTCCTCCAGATGGATCCACCTACCTGGTTAAAGCGCCGGACATTTGATTTTTGTCCTCTCAATTTCGTAAAAAGCACTCGTGATGCGAGAAGGCACTGAGTAGGACTTCCCTGTCGATCGTTGTATGCACATGGTCATGTGAGAGCATTTTTCTGGGGAGAGCTGACTCTCTCCACTCTTGGTCGTACCAGGGCATTTACGGGTGTGTTGTTCATACTCTTAAATTCGTTACTCACTTATTAAATAAACAAAGAATTGCTTGAAAATGCCCAGATATGACATTTTTGTTGTACTTCCCACAAATTTTTGTGTTACTTCTTTGATTCATCTACACAATAATATACAGGTGAAAACTTGTCTCGATCTAGGTTTAGGCCTTGACACGATAGGTCAACTGATGTCAACCTTGAGGTTAGAAATGTGTGAGTCCGAATTGTGACGACTTTGGTCGGAGAGACGAAGCTATTCTATCAGCTGATTGGTTGACAAGCGAGAGAACGAGAAAGAAAATGAGCCAACTGAAATACTACTTGATTTATTCTCTATTCCCAATTCAGATTCATGTAAGAAGACATATGAATTAATAGATGAATAAGACAACCGCCTGGTACAAACAATTAGACAAACACAATTATGTATAAAGTAAGCATTAGACTAGAAAAATAGTGTATCAAAGGTTACGTTTAAATTACAATAGCTTTGGAATAGAAACTGATACGGTAATGAATCGCACATCAAATGAAAGCTTATAATTTATAGAATAAACTAGGGAGAAAACTAAATATAAGTACTTGACAAACTTTGAATAAATTGAAACTACATCTTCAAAAAATAGCTTCCGTTCATTGTTATGACTTCTTGATTTATCTATTCATATCATTTTGTTATACAAAATAATTGGTTGAAATTAAACTTTAACACCGTTGCATGCCGGCTCAGTGATTTAGTTGGTTAAGTGCCTGGCGCGAGACTGATAAGTCCTGGGTTCGAATCTCATGGGGTGCGGGATCGTGGATGCCCACTGCTGAGTCCCGTACTAGGATGAAACTGCTGTCCAGTGCTACCAGGTTTTCCATGGTGGTCTACCTTCAATCGACTCATCATTTCAACCAGTGGAACAAAATAATTTGTTAAGTAAACACTGTTTTCTCTCTTTCTCTCTTCAATTCAATCAACTTGAATTAGTCCTTTTGTGTTGATGACCTGTTTTACAAATAAAATTAATAACTATAATTGATAAGAGGTTAAAGTTATTGATAAAGCGATGTGAATTTAGTTATTTGGTTATGTGAAATGAATTTTTTGTAATAGAAACTTTTTAATTCCATCATGATTATTTCACAGTTGAGCTCATTTATCTTTCACTCACTCACTCACTCACTCACTCACTCACTCACTCACTCACTCACTCACTCACTCACTCACTCACTCACTCACTCACTCACTCACTCACTCACTCACTCACTCACTCACTCACTCACTCACTCACTCACTCTCATTCACTCACTCAATTTCTATCATGATTTGCGTGTAAGCTTTATTCATAGGTTTCTTTTCTATTTAATGTATGTGTATGTGTACGTGTATGTTTGTAATAAGGATTAAGAAAATAATAAAACCGATTGACCGACTACTTGACATTATTACAATTCGTAGTAGTCGTATTCGTGGTAGCAGTGATGTATTCGTCACGTATTAAATATTCACTTATTTTTCATTAAAAAAACAAAACAACTATAGTTTAACATACAAATGGTGTATGATGTTGCTTTTGTGTATTCTTAGTGTTTAGCTGTAGTAGTGTGTTCATTCATAACCTCACTGGTGATCGAATTCAAAATGTTCAAGATTTATGAAGGAGTTAGTATCCAGTAGTTAACATGGTTTTCGATGGTTGTCAAATTAAAGTCAATTAGTCAATTATTGATATCTAAGAGAAAATCCTGTTATGTTTTTCTGTTCATTTGTTTTATTTTGTCTATAGTTTAAAGCCTTCAACTGTAACCAATAAAACATTTTGACTCCTATTGATTTCCCAAATGATAACTCCATATAAGAGGATATAACAGACAAACTTCTATTATGTATATTTTAAGTACACATTGTAATTATCTCAAGCACTGATTTATTTCTATGCCATTCTTTACAAACAATCATGTCATAAGTGTGGCAACTCGAACTGATGTACGTACGTATGAAGTTCTACGTTGTTACTGACTGACTGACTAACTTATCAACAGATCAAACAAAAATGAACATTACACAATTTGAGTTTCATTTAAACTGATAGACTTCGATCTTTTTTCTTTTTTTCTCCATTTTTTAATCATAAATAAACATATTTATTTTTCTTCCCTATAGGCACTCATGTTATGGAAGGTTCCGGTAAAATGGTTGTTACTGCCGTTGGACCGAATTCACAAGCTGGTATAATATTTGCTTTGCTATCTTCTGGTTCTCATGATGAACATGGTGGCGGTGGTCAAGAGAACAAAAAGAGAAAAGTGAGTCATTTGTTCTTTTTTTTTAAACCATTAACATAGTACCTTGTCTGAGTATTTGTTATTGTTGTTATTCTTATTTACTTACACCTGTTACTTCTCATGGAGAAGCATAGGCCGCCCACCAACATTCTCCATCCAACTCTATCTTGGGCAATTATTTCCTGTCTCTATTCATCCTTTGGATGTTTGGTTCCAATTCCCGAGATAGTGTATTATTTGACCTTCCTCTTTTCCGTTTACCTCCAGGATTCCAAGTTTAAGACCTTTTATCAGTATTTAATTAATTATTCCAGTAGAGAATGAGATCGAACACAAGATCTTGAAATTTCATTGCAAGTTCCGATTATCATCCGGTTGAAATCCAATCGTTCAATTTACAAAGGATTACTTCAGTTATTATTGTTTGTCTCATGTATGACCATATTTGTGAAAGCTAAGTTTTTTATTAGTACGTTACCTCTTTTTTTTTCAAGTCATAGTAAAGAACAGTCACTAGTGTAAAATTAAATGATCATTTGTCTTTCTTTTTTATTTAGGCAAAACTAAAAAGAATGATAAAAAAGGGAAAAAGAACATTAACAAAGTACCATCTGCTAATTCCGATGCTTATCAAATGAAATCAAAGGAGAATAAAACAAAAACTGAATCTGATACAGAACAGACTTCGAAACCGAAGAAAAAACCACGTCGTAAAGAACAATCTGTGTTACAAGCAAAATTAACTAAATTAGCCATACAAATTGGTTATGTTGGTTAGTCACTATTTATTTATTTTATTATTACTTAATTTATATAGACACACAAAGATTGACACAAATAACTGGAGTTGTGTGTAGACTGGGATACTGTTTGGGTTCTCAATTCGGAGCAGATAGTTTTGCTAGGGACCGCTTTCCGAACTTTTGACGCAGGTCAAATCCACAAGGTAGTGGAACAACATTAGGGGATGCGGTTCCACGCTATCCAGTGACTGAAAATAGATTCATACACCATTTTTTCTAACTCAGGGTTCTAGAGCGTATGTTCACCGTTGATTTGAAATTAGGGTTTTCTAACTCACCTAGGTGGATTCTCCGTACCTATCTACCCGGTTTAAACGCCGGACACTTGTCATCCACAGTTTTATCGTTTACTTTTGCTCTTTCCGCTCACTATCAATGTTATAATAGTAGCAACTATTATCATTCTGAATTAATTTTTAAAGAATTTCAAATGATGAAGTAGATTCAAAACAATTTAGATGAACGCTTTTTCGTGGTTTAGTATTCTTTGGATTAGATGGTTTGAATTATCGTCCTGGAAAAGATCATCAGCGCCCAATTGGTATGGTGGTATATTTGGGATTCTCTGTCGTAAGCATGAAAATCATGTAATTAACTGCAACTTTATGTAATTGATTTCAAGCTTTGCTTTTAACATGTGTTTGTGTGTATGTGAAATGTTTAGCAATACTTCTTACTTTGGTACAAGTTATATGAAAGAAAAATTCTGTTATGAATCCGTGATTAGTATAATTTATGGGAGATTGTAGCATCCTACGTCCAATTGTGTCCAAACTATTGGCTCCCATCATACATCGTAGATTGTTCAAAGCCCGAGAAAGATTGACTGGTTTTGGTTCTGGTCGAGGATGTATTGATCATATCATCACACTCCGCCAAATGTTAGAACACCGTCATACTTATCACAGGCCAACAATCGTAATGTTTCCTGACATTAGAGCCACCCATGATTCGTTGGACACGACTGTTCTCTGAGATTGTCTAATGAAGAAGGATGTGCCTGGGGAGGTTATTAACATCTTGATAGCCCTCTGTACTAACTAATTAACTAACACATGAAGCAGAGTGAGGTCATACAACCACCTGTCTCGTTTGTTCCATCGAAGTAGTGGTGTTAGATAGGGTTGCGTAATCTCACCATTCCTCTTCAACCTTGCTATGAATGACGTTTTTGAAACAGCTGTGATGGATGTATGTTGTGTTTGTGTGGATCTGTTGCCTGGAGAAAGACTTTTCGAGCGTGAGTATGTGGATGATATTGTCTTAGTGTGGGTGGGATTATACGTAAGCCATGCAATTCTGACATAATTAGTTGTCAATTAGTGTCTTTAGGTATGATGTGTGCTCTGAACTTTCAAAGTGCAAATTACTTTTCCAAGAGTGTTAGGACCCTGATTCTGTACTCATTGTGGATAGTGGGCAGATAGAAGCAGTCAAGACTAGTTGGAAAGAAGGGACAGGTGTCAGTGTATGAGATGGTGTGGTGGTATAAAAGAAAGCTGTACATGACTGGGTTCTATTGGTCCTTCACGACTCCCTGGCTAGAATTCTAGGGGTGGTGCAACACAGTGGCTAGAGACGTTATCAGATATGACTTGGAATAGAAGTCGGTGGCGATCCTGCTCTAACTTTCTCTTACTTTCTTCGTAAAAAGTGAACGTGACTTCTTTAATTGACAGAATTTTTTATGATTATATTTTGTTAACTGAACTGTTTCTCCAAGTATTATCATTACTATTATTACTTCACTGTCATACATTGATTTTCGTTCTTTGCTGTTCTCCTTTTTCTTACACACAATTTACATTCTTTATCTCTTCACATTCTCATTGTGATTGTGTAGCGCATCTGATTTCTTCCCCCCATTGAAGCAATGTTTATGTGTTCAAATTTTTGTGAAATGTTGAGGAGTGAAAATGACACAATATTAGTCATTTAATATTGATCAGGACTAACTACAGCATACTGTACCTTGAAGAAACTATAGCTTCCTACGTTGTTGTATTACTCGCCTCCTGACTGCTCAAATGGATGTTTCAATTTACAACTTAGTTGTTTAAGGTTAACTGATTTCATAACTCAACCAATGATACAACCGTTTAGCTGACATTTATATTGTGATAATTCTAAGATCATCGAAATGGTAATTTACTCATGGAATTCTTTCAGAAGAAATAACCTCTAATCGATCTGAAATTAGAGTCATTATTGACGAATGATTAATTCAATCAAAATCATTTGACTACGATTGAATGATCTGTTAACAAAGGTTTTAATCAAGGTTATGAAACTTTACTTCTCTCCATTGAAGTAACTGCTTCTATGAATTTAGTGTTCATCTTGTTGTACTAATAAGGCATTTCAATTTCGACCGATGGATATATGTACCTGGTCCTATATTGTAGCTGACTTTCTCTATTTTGTGAACTATCTACCATTTCATATATTACGTAGATTCATTATCTCCAGTTATTCAGTATCATTAAAGATTCAGATACTACAGACAGAGTTTCTTTTTTGTTAATTAGAATAATTTCGCCTAGTGATCATCATCTAAGATAACATAGACGGTTTATATCACGAGTTGGCTTTAGCTAAACAAATTTTAAAACCTAGGAAAGGCACTACATAGTGCTTTTTAGAAAAATACATCCATAATAATGATATAAGTCATCTATAATGACATTGAATGACGGCAGATCAGTGTTGTAAATTGATAAAGGTAGAAAAGTCGAAGCATTGGATACCAGGTCACTGATTTCAATGTAATATTGTCACCGTATAAGGTCTGAAGATCTTGGATTTAATTGTTAAAAAAAGTCCTACACTAAAACAAAACAGCTATCTAGTACTCCTTGGTTTTTTATTGGTACTTTAAAGCCTTTCATTTTTGTGATGTAAATGTTATAACTTATGACTTTGTGCACCTATTAAAATATAACGTCCATATCGATCCTTCTTCCTGTCTACCCCCCTGCCTGTTGAGTCCAGAACACTAATATCAGCCTCTGCGATATGAATCATGTATTTGAAACATACTCGGTTTATATACAAACCAAAGAGATCACATCGTACCATAAAATAGAAAATAACACATATACAAGATCTAACCAAAAATAGCTGTGAATATGGGAAACTGCAAGTAATAGACTGGGTATAACTGAAGAACGTTAAATCGTATAATAATCGTCTATAAGTCAGAATAAAGCTTATAATAAGAGGAACATGATATGCATAGTTTGATTACTTAACAATTATACAATAAAAATGTATCTATAGTATTAGTCCATAAACAGAGCACAATAATTACCATCCACCATCCATCTTGGAGAACCTGGAAGGAGTGGACGGATGTTTCGTCTTAGTATGAGACTCCTTAGTAGTGTGCATCCACGATCCTTCATGTGGGACTCAAACCCAAGACCTTCGGTCTCATGCGCGAATACCCAACCTCTAGACCACTGAAACGATATCCAACGGTATTAATGTCTAACTTGTGTTATGATGGATTTTTTCTCCCCATCGGAATAGTTTAATTCTTAATTTATTCAGTACCTTGTATTCTTAGCTTAAAATGGTATTTTTAGTATTCAAGATTTGATTATAAGTATTGTAGGGAACAGAACACCAGTGGGGACAATCGAATGTATTTAACACAAAATTATAGAGCATCTCAATAAAATCTGAGAACCATACAGTAAATGCTCAATTTGGTAAATGACCATCGATTGCCTCAAAATGACTCAGACTTCATTGTTCTTGCATTTTCATACAAATTACATTCTGTTTTCATTCTTTACTGTTCGGTCCTCTTGTCTCTCTGCTGCCAGACATTCTGTTCCTGACTAATGTCATATACTACTTATGTCAATATAAGTAGCACACATCACAGTATATCTATTGAATTATTTAAAGTCTACATTTAAAATCAAATCCCTATAGATATCAAAGTAAGGACAACATTTTTAAGATCGTCCAATTAAATTCTAGAGATTTACTTCATTTGACATTCATCAAGGATTTATCATTTTCATTCTTGACTTCGGCTAATTGGAGATATAGATGTCCAGCTTCATTATGTTTAAGAGATTATCTTCTACTTCAATATTCATCCCATTTTTGATTTCAATTACTGACTATTCTTTATAGTGTGAGTAAACGTTCTAAACATCAATAGGAAGATTCAAATAAACAATACAAAACAAACTCTAAACTAACCTAATTATAATGCTCTTAGTATTGTTTTTACTTGGATCTTCCCATTGATGTTTAGGACTACAATTGATCAGTGTGTTATTTGCATATGTGCATACTGTGGACGTGCTGAATTCCACTACTAGCCACTAACCATCTTTGCTTATAATGCTTGTAAATTAAGGCAATATCGAGTCAATACTCATAGTGATTTAAACTTCACCTCAGGACTCAGTATATAAATGGATAATGCGATGGCGTTTGAAGCGAATGGTACTGAGTTGGAGTGCCAGAGTGAACATCAACTCTGAGATGCGGGCACATCCAGCCGACGAGCCCCAGATAGGACGAAACCCGTGTCAAACTGGATTCCACTGCTAACCACTATTCATTTTTGCTTATAGCCTAATTATAACTTACCATCATGTACCATGTAATTTATCTATCTAGATACTACGTTAACTTTACTTATAAGAGATGTCGATTTTGTTACTAGATCCAATGACATAATCACTTGAAAAGAAAGAAAGAAAAAGAAATTCGTTATCAATTTTATATTTTGAAAAATGTTACATAATCATTTGTACAATAGTAATACATAGGAACTAGTAAAAATGATATCAGTTAACTGACCATTGTCTCTCTCTATATAGATATTGTTATTGAATATTGAAATAATTGTAGGCGGTTATTTTGTTATGACGGGTTAATTCATTATTTCTTAATATATGTACCATCCGATGATAAGTAAGAAGATAAAGAGTAGAGAAAGAAGAGGAAACAAAGAGAGAAGATTACACATTAACATTTCAATACTTCTATTCATTCTATTTTAATTGTATCAAATAATGACAATAGAAATGAATAAAAAATGTTACAAGTATACAAATATTTCAAACTATATTACTCTACGATAATGATGATGATTCTATGTCTGGTAAAACGTCTTCAATTCATTGTCTTGATAGTTTTGTTGTGTATAAGATGAGTGATAGAAGTGAAGAGTCAAAGAAGAGCAATTGTGAGAACTTTTTTTCAAATAATAATAATATTTAAAAAAAATAACCCTTATGTAATAGTGAATGAAAGTTACTTAGATACATTGTTTAAGCATATGTATATGAGTGAAAATAAGAGATTTTACATTGTAAAGATGGGCAAGATGTTTGATGTTGTATTTGGTCGTCGCTGATTGTTGTGCTGGAAAAAAAATAGCGCTGATCACTTATACTCGGAACGAGGGACCTCGGCAATTCCCACAACGCGAAAGTAAGAACACAAGACTGGTATAAGTGAAGATTTATTAGCTCCAAAACACTATGACAACGACGAATCGAAATCTAATCTAAAATACGCTGGTTTATATATTGATTGTACACCCATTTTTATTAATAATTAGGATTAAATCACATACTCAGTTATAACAAATCACTTACTGAGGATAGTTCATGTCAACTGAATACAAGAATATCGTATATTATACAGAAGAAAATATTATACTGGGAAAACAAATCAAATACTTCACTGAATGATCCTCACGTTGAATAAAACTCATAATGAGTAATTCAATCTAAAATTGATTTTTCTTACCATCATATCAACCAATAATTAATCTACTGGGTATAACTCGGGTCCTAACATTTGATTTCTAGTCACTAAGTCATATGTTCAAATTACCATTTATCAATCAACCAAGAGAGGTACATGGATTTCTACCTGATGAGTGAAATAACAGTTTGATACGCATGTGGTTAATAGTTGTTATAGTGTATTCTCATCAGAGATTGACTTACGTGAATGAATACTTGATCAATTAAGTCCCCTAACTTCTCCAGCAGTTTTAATCGGAAGCGTACATATTACTACCTTTGCCTGTCTGGTTGCCTGAAATCGAACAATTCGTGTCAAAGATAGAGCCTCTTTCTATTTGGGCAAATCAGATATGCGTGTTATTTACTTCATATATTAGGAGTCTGAACTCAAAGTTGGTATTAACATTGATTACTATCAGTTCAAATATTTGAATTGAATCAGAAGGAGCTTTTACAGCACTATAATCAATGTCTGCATCATTATTTGTGTTATTTCCTTATGACCTGGTAATTATCACGTGATACGATCGCAAATGAAAACATCGACTTATTGACCAGATCAATCACACATAAACCAGTATGAGTAGCCTAGAGTTCAATTCTGAGTTCTTATTGGATCTTCAAAATAGTAGCTTCTCGTCTAACTGAGCCAGTTTATTCTAAAACATCTTCATAGATGAATCTTTTCCTATTTCTAAAATGAACATAAACACTGGAATGCAGCTGATCAGTTATAAATGGAGTGTAACTTATGTTGTCGATTCTACTGCTAGTTAAAACCCATTTATTTAATAATGAATGATCATTTATCAACTAAGATTGACCAGCATTAATATCAATAATAGATTAATATGTATATACACCTTAAAAAAATAATGATGTAAGATATTAAACTCATATTATTATGAAGTAGGATTTCGGTATCGTTTTCTAATCTACACTGTCAATAATTGAATTGAAGAAAACAGTATAATACCACATTGAATAACTTGTTCAATTTATATAAGAATAGATGTGAAAGGAAAATATAAATCACTTTACATAGAGGAAAATTGAACAAGACAGATTTGAAAGTAAAGTGGGAGAAAAAAAATTCCCAGTTGTAAAAACATTATCACACCCTTTTTCCTCTTTCTTTCTCTTTTATTTTCTCTTTCTTTATTGTTTTCTTATGCTTCCATTTAAAATCAGTCATTGGATACTATCAATCATCCTTTGTTAGCTTGCCCTTTAATGAACTCAATCTTTGTACATGTATAAGGAGAAAATTAATAATAATAATAATAATAATAATAATAGTACTGTTACTACTACTACTACTACTACTACTACTACTACTACTACTACTACTACTACTACTACTACTACTACTACTACTACTACTACAAGTAATAATACTTCCTTAAGCCTATTATCCGTCATGTAGGAGTATAGATCGCCACCAGTATTTTGCATCGAACTCTGTTCTTGGCAATCCTTCTCAGTTGTTATTCATCTTTTTGATGTTTACCTCCGATTCCCGACGTAGTGTGTAATAGAAGTGGTATAATTGTTCTGGATTATATACATGTGTATCATTCGATGTTGTAGACTACTTGGTTGGGGCTAGTGTCATCAATGGTTAGGTACGTTAAAAAACTTGGCTCAAAATCAACTACATTGTCGTATATGCAGTCACTTTTTTTGTTTTTCGGTAAAAAAAAAAGGTTGTGCCTAAAATTAGCTCACCACCTCTGTCCTTAAAGATCTTAAAACAACAATTTGGTGCGGATAACCATTTTATTGTTGACTACAAAATTGCAGAATATTTTTGTAAATTATGAAAATCATACAATAAATGCTTCATTTGCACATCTTCTATCAGTTGCCCTTTACATCCTTCATGCTTCTGCCGATTGTCGATTCCATTATGTTTCCCTTTCTGTTTTCTTCAGTTCAATCTTCTCAACCTTCTGTTGTCAGACATTCCACTTCTGACTAGTCTTAAGTACTACTGTAGTGAACAAGAACACCAATGGAGACAATCGAATGTATTTAACACAAAATTACACGACTTGTTAATAAAATCTAACAATCATAAAGTAAATGAATAATTTGCAAAATGTCCACCAATTGTGTCAAAATGACTCAGACTTCATTGTCCTTGCATTTTCATACAAATTACATTCTGTTTCCATTCTTTACTGTACGATCCTCTTGTCTCTCTGCCTCTAGACCTTCTGTTCCTGACTAACATCATATACTACTTATGTCATTATAATTAGCACACATCACACTACTTATATTTGTCAACATAAGTACCATACACCACACTTGTCGTCCCTCTAATAAGCTGTTCTCACAGTCATTCTTATCGCTTAAAAAGCGTTTAATACTTGTATTTGACTACTTTTTTCTATCTTTCTCTTTTCATCCCATTTTTTAGGTACATGTGTTGCAATAGCTACTGTCCTAATATTAATCATAAAATTTTCAGTACATACATTTGCACAAAATAAAGAACCATGGCAAACTGGAAAACATTTGAAACAAATAGTTAATTATATTATTACTGGTGTGACAGTATTAGTTGTTGCTGTTCCCGAAGGTTTACCACTTGCTGTAACTTTATCATTGGCATATTCAGTGAAACGTATGATGAAAGTAAGTCTTTCTATTTTATTCATAATTGATTATTGCCACTATTGTCATTGACTCATTCTTCTTTCCTTTTTCTTTTCAAATAAAGATAACTATTTATCATGAATTGATTTTGATCAGACAATTATTTGAAAAGAAAACATAAGTATAATTGAATAGCTGTTTCTTTCTGGTATTGAGACATTTCAGTAGTTTGTACACTTTGATGATCCCACTAGGTAATCGATTCTATGATCTTTGAATGTTGAGATGAACATGATATCTGTAGGCTATAGTGAAACAGTATTTAATTGTTTATAGATTTAAATTCAATCACTTCTTAGTATAGCGCATCTATTATGCAATAGATCTGATATTGACTGTTCCAATTTCATCATAGTTGAATATAATCGGTTATGAATTGTCTAATTACTTAGCTCTAATTTATTAATTATTCTAATGCTTCCCTTCTCTATACTTTATCTTTTTCTTACTGTTATAATAGAAATTCAACATTATTTTAACTAACCGTCATTCATATTCGAAAATGTTTAACTATTTCAATGAATACCTGTTCAGCTCTTTTGATGGAACTTCATTTTTACATATTCTCACTGTTCCACGACAACTGTTCTTTGTGTCTATGTGTGTGTGTGTGTGTGCGTGTATACGAGTGTATGTAACTTGGTAAAATTTCAATAATGTAATTGTCAGATTACTTAGTTTAACTATAATGTTATTAATCTGGATTGTTTTTCTTTTTGCCGATTATTCAATCAATTTTGGTCCAAATTGCTTTACAATGTGATAATTCATCGGTGAATATACTATAAAATTTAATCTTAGAAAAATAGATCATTTCAAGATTTTATGTATATTTTCTCCTTGAAAATTGTTAATGCCACTAATAGGTAGACATATATCTATCTGTAACTCTTTTCCCGACCGTTGTTGCTACCATGACGTGGTGATCGGGCTTGACTATCGTGATGAAGCAACCGAGCTATACTGGCTAGAACAACCGTTCCTCAAGGTCCTACCACATCATACAGGCAAGTTGGTTGAAGAGCGGTAAGACTAAAAGCAACAAACTCAAGGTCCGAAGGCGAAGTCGGACTGCTGACTGTACAGAGGTGTGACAGCAGTAAGGTGTTTCCTTCAGACAACCAACATGACAGCGATGCTGCCTTCCCACAAGGAGGGGTGGGGTTAGAAAAGGTCGACCCTAGAAATGCACACCTCGCCTTATCCCACGGATATCCGTCTCCGGTGGTATGGTCTCAAGAAGTACGGGGCTAACACAAAAATTGCTCATAAAAAGGTCGTGTGTGACCAACCTCAAGCAGTTGTCCCTTGGGCACTGCGGTCACACTTTCAGGTCACTAAGAACACCTCTAATCCAATTTCCTTTTCAGTTGCATCTAGAAGAACCCTTCCATGGTGTGGGCAACCGGGAAGTGATAGTCGCCCTCATACCTCTAACAGCACTCAAGACCACTGACTGACTATAACGTTTGTTCACCCGGAAGTGTGTGATTATGTTTCAGTGCTACTCGATAAACTTTATGTTACATTAGTTAACATAATATGACGAAAAATGAATAAAACTGACGAATGTAAACTCTAATGGTAACTGGTATTACTCGGTGCAATAAATACATGAATTGAGCCAACAAGTTTATTAGTTATAGAATACAGTTGATCTTCTGTATTGATCAAAGCATAGAAGAAAGTATATTTAAATCTCTTGCTTTTTATGACTATGGATGATATCGGATTTTCAAAAATCTCGACACAGTCGAGGAATATGTTAACATTACCATCATCGCTTATAATAATTGGTATACACACTTTATGATACTGTTATATCGTAGATTAATCGTTCTGAAACCTATGTCATCGTCAAACACTCCAACAAGTTACAAAGCTAGGAACTGAGTTAATAATTATAAGGGAAACTTCATTATTAGCTAAATAAATTTTTGTATAGAATAAACAGAATGTACTTGCCATTGGGATCTATGACTCAAGTTTTGTCACATTCTGCACTGATCAGACGGATTTAACCAAAGTCTCAAAATTGATATCCACTCTGGCATCCAAATCCACTACATTTAGCTTCAAACATCGACATGTTTGTGATAGTTTGGATCATGTTGTCGTCGATATTTTAAGCAAATATTTCACCAGCCAGTGAGCTTCAAATAGAAACAAACGCGCGTCCTATATCCCACTCGTACCTACATTCTATCCATTTTCAAAAAAAAAAAAACTTGTAATATAATCACTCTATCGAAGCAATCCGCACAGAATGTATATGTACTGACTAAAATTTCGGTTGTAAATGTCAACAACGGAATAATCCAAAACATTATAAATTAAATTCTTGTTATTTATTACAATCTACGCAATCACATTGTTTCTGTAACAACTATCGGAAAATAAGTATACATCTGATCGCGTCCAAACTATTGGCTTCCGTCATACATCGTAGATTGTTCAAAGTCCGAGAAATATTGACTGGTTTTGGTTCTGGTCGAGGATGTATTGATTATATCATCACGCTCCGCCAAATGTTAGAACACCGTCATACTTATCACAGGCCAACAATCGTAATGTTTCTTGACATTAGAGACACCCATGATTCGTTGGACACGACTGTTCTCTGAGATTGTCTAATGAAGAAGGATGTGCCTGGGGAGGTTATTAACATCTTGATAGCCCTCTGTACTAACTAACTAACTAACTAACTAACTAACACATGAAGCAGAGTGAGGTCATACAACCACCTGTCTCGTTTGTTCCATCGAAGTAGTGGTGTTAGATAGGGTTGCGTAATCTCACCATTCCTCTTCAACTTTGCTGTGAATGACGTTTTTGAAACAGCTGTGATGGATGTATGTTGTGTTTGTGTGGATCTGTTGCCTGGAGAAAGACTTTTCGAGCGTGAGTATGCGGATGATATTGTCTTAGTGTTGGTGGGATGATCCGTAAGCCATGCAATGCTGACATAATTAGTTGTCAATTAGTGTCTTTAGGTATGATGTGTGCTCTGAACTTTCAAAGTGCAAATTACTTTTCCAAGAGTGTTAGGACCCTGATTCTGTACTCATTGTGGATAGTGGGCAGATAGAAGCAGTTGAGAAGTTCGTGTATTTGGGTAGCCGCTGTTCAGATACTTAGACTATGAAACGTATATTTGAGAAAAGACAAGGGTGAGAGAGGCTCAAAAAAGTAAGCGAAGAAAAAGTATGGAAAATAATAATAAATGAAATCACTTATTAAGGCCAAGAGAGAGGTATGGGGTTTATGAATTTCTTATAAACACAAGGACTTGGATTGTTAGCTTGAATTCCTATAGCTTCTGTTGTGTCTATGAGACGAGATCGAACCCCATAATGAGAACTAGTAGGAACACGATAAATGACTTTAAACGACCTATTTCTGTCAACTACATGATCGCTATCGATCGGATGTGATTTAATAGAGCATTATTTTTTTGACAGTACATTTTCCTCACCACGAAGGGAGGTGTTCACTAACGCTTTTGCCCAGTTTTCTGATCCTTAATACATATGCGAATAGCAGGCCGGCTTGAGGAAATAATACGGAGCTTAAGTGAATAGAACGTTGTATTCATGGATTTTGAGATCCGTTTATTCAAGATTTAAACGGCGGTATCTCCTGTAAATTCTATACGGATGTTGAAATCTTGAATAAACGGATCTCAAAATCCATGAATACAACTTTTTATTCAGCCAAGCTCCGTATTGTTTTCTCAAGCTGGCCTGTCATCCATGGATGCGTTAAGGATAAGCTTTAGCTTTGGGCCACATCAATATGCATCTATAAGTTTACTTGCTCCTGTGGGGCAGGTTACAGTGGCTGCACAAAATGATCACTTTCTAAACGCATCTCAGAACACAATCCGGCATGGCTTTTAAAACAATTACCAGTTCAATCTAGTTGCATCCAGTCAACTCTGGACACATCGCTCTGAACGAGCTTTCTGTTGAAATAATCTATACAGTTGAAGGAACGGGATCGAAGGGAGGTTGAATCAAAAACTTTTGTACTGTTGAGGCATTGGCGATCTACCAATTCAAGCCCGAACTCTGCGTTTAACAACGATACATCCAACCTCTCATCCTTTCTTGACCTTAATTCCCTTCTATAGTATGTTTTGGGCTTGTTTTTTAAATTAAAGTTCTGTAATTTTAAACTGTAATCAGTTATTAATATTCACTTTTTATCATTATGACCTTTGTGTATTTTGTTTCTCTTCATATCTGTCAAGTGGACGATTATCATAATTTTGACCTGTAAATTGTTTTCATCCTTCTATTATTCTCTGACCCTTTGAGTATTGCGTAACATCATTTGATAATAAGAATCTCGGGTCCCTTTATGATGCAATCTTCTATATCATTGTACAGACATATATTTACCATACAACTATAAATACGAATGTACACCTTAAGTAAATGATTTCAGTGGCACGAGAAAATTTTGTTCGCTGAATTCTTTTTATTTTAGTTCGATGATACAATGGGTTATTTTAATTACTGCATAATATTAATGATAATAATAACAATGATAAGTTGAGATGATGGTGGCTAGCAGTGGAATTCAGGACGCACGTTTCGTCCTTGCCGGAACTCATCAGTTGGATGTACCTGCATCCCAGAGTCCTGGAGTGAACATCGATTCTGGGATGCAGGTGTATCCAGCTAACGAGTCTCAGCCGGGACGAAACGGGCGTCCTGGATTCCACTGCTGAACACCATTCATTTTTAGTTATAGTGCTAATGACTTAAGGCAATTCGCACAGGTTGTATATATGCTTATAAGAGAGTGGTCAATTGCAGTGCTAAACATTAATGCGAAAACTCAAGCGACCAATACAAAAACTAACAATACTGATAGTTTATAATTTCATTATATTTTATTTCTTGGTCCTTATGACAACAATGAAAATTGTTAGTAAATATTGATTTTTGGAATGAACTTTTTTGAAATTGTCT